TAAAAGGGCCAAGTAACATATAAAGGTAGACCTATCAGATTTGCAACTGACTTTGCAATGAAGATTCTTAAAGCCAGGAGGTTCTGGACAGATGTTTTGCAGACACTAAGGGATCACTGATGCCATCCCAGAATACTGTACCCAGAAAACTTTTCAATCATCATAGATAAAGAAAACAAGATATTCCATGACAAAACCAGATATATAAATCCTATATATAAAAATCCCTATCACAAATCCAATCCTACCGATAGTACTAGAAGGAAAACTACAACACAAAGGAGTTTGCTGCACTCAGGAAAATACAGGCAGTAGATAATCTCACAACAGCAAAACATAAAGAAGGGGTACACACACTACACCACCACCACCACAAACAAAACTAAAAAGTAACTGGAATTAACAATAATTGGTCATTAATATCCTTTAATATCTATGGCCTCAATTTGCCTGTAAAAAGATACAGTCTAACATAATGGATACAAAAGCAGGACCCATCCTTCTGCTACATGCATACAAGAAACACATGTCAACTTCAAAGACAGACATTACCTTAGAGGAAAGGTTGGTAAAAGATTTTCTAATCAAATGGACCTAAAATGCAAGCTGGTGTAGCTATTATAATATCTAACAAAGTAGACTTCAAAATAAAATTAATCCAAAAAGATGGAGAAGGATATTTCATACTCATCATAGGAAAAATCCATCAAAATGAAGTCTCAATTCTGATCATTTATGCTCCAAATACAAGATCACTCACATTTTTAAAAGAAACATTACTAAAGCAAAATCACACATCAAAAACTACACATTAATAGTGTGGGAGACTTTAACATCCCACTCTCACCAATGGTAAAAGTTCACATAGATAAAGTTCTCTCCAATATCTTCTTTTTTCAAAAAATTATTCTCCTTTTACTTTTTTATGTGTATGAGTACTTTGCCAGCATGAATATACACCATGTACATGCATAGTCCCTACAGAAGACAAAAGAGTATTATGAACCTACTAGACTGGGAATTACAGATGGTTGTGTACCACAATGTGAATTCTGGGAATGGATCCCAGGTCCTCTATGAGAGTAACACATGTGCTTTTAATCACTAAATCATCTCTCTAGTCAATCCAATCTCCTTTTAATTCTACACAGAATCCCTTTCTCTTGTAGTATTTTTCTTTGTCTAACCTGTTTCTTTATTGTTTTTTGTTTAAGTGTGTGCCTGTGCATGTGTGTGTGTGTCTGTGTGTGTAAGAGTAGAAATTATGGTTTCTTCTAGTTCGATCCATTTGCTTGCGAATTTCAAGATTCCATTGCCTTTTTTTCCCCCGCTGAGTAGTACTCCATTGTGTAAATGTACCACAATTTCTCTATCCATTCTTCAGTTGAGGGGTATCTAGGTTGTTTCCAGGTTCTGGCTATTACAAATAATGCTGCTATGAACATAGTTGAACAGATGTCCTTGTTGTAGGAATGTGCTTCTTTGGGGTATATACCTAAGAGTGGAATTGCTGGATCTTGTGGTAGACTGATTCCCATTTTCCTGAGGAATCTGCATACTGATTTCCAAAGTGGCTGTATGAGTTGGCACTCTCACCAGCAGTGGAAGAGTGTTCCCCATTTCTCCACAACCTCTCCAGCATAAACTGTCATTGGTGTTTTTGATTTTGGCCATTCTGACAGGAGTAAGAAGATATCTCAGAGTTGTTTTGATTTGCATTTCCCTGATGGCTAAGGATGTTGAACACTTTCTTATGTGTCTTTCATCTATTTTAGATTTCTATATTGAGAATTGTTTATTTAGTTCCTTACCCCACTTTTTAATTGGATTGTTTGGTGTTTTGGAGACTAGCTTCTTGAGTTCTTTGTAAATTTTGGAGATCAGCCCTCAGTTGGATATGGGGTTGGTGAATAAATAATTGATGTGATGGAACTAGAAGAAACCCTTCTGAGCGAGGTAACCCAATCACAAAAAGACAGGCATTGTATTTACTCACTCATCTGTGGATTTTAGACATAGAGTAAAGAATTGCCAGCCTGCAGCCCAGGCTGCTGGGGAGGATGGTAAACAAGGAGGACCCTAAGAGTGACATACATGGTCCTCTGGAGAAGGGGAAAGGGACAAGATCTCCTGAGCAAATTGGGATTATGGGGGGAGGGGAGAGGGAACTAGGAGAAGGAGAAGGGGAGAAGAGGAGGGGTGAGGAATACATGACGGGACAGGGAGGTTGAGTTGGGGAAGAAGAGCAGAGATCAAGATAAGAGATAATATAATAGAGGGAGACATTATAAGTTCAAAGAGAAATCAGGCACTAGGGAAATGTCTGGAGAGCTACAAAAATGACACCAACTAACAATCTAAGCAACAGAGGAGAGGCTACCTTAAATGCACTCCCCTGATAATGAGATTGATGACTAACTTATATGCAATCCTATAGCCTTCATCCAGCAGCTTGTAGAAGTAGAAGCAGACACCCACAGCTAAACCTGGAATTGAACTGAAATCCATCTGTAGAGAAGGAGGACGGATGAGCAAAGGGGTCCATACCAGGCTGGTGAAACCCACAGAAACAGCTGACCTGAACAAGGGAAAACAGACTGATAGCTGGGAAAACAGCATGGGACTGATCCAGACCCCCTGAATGTGGGTGTCAGTGAGGAGACCTTGGAAATCGATGGAGTCTCTTGTAGTGGATCAGTACTTATTACTACCATAGGAATGAACTTTAGGAGCCTATCCCACATGGAGGGATACTCCCTGAGCCTAGACACAAGGGGGTTGGCCTAGGGCCTATTCCAAAGAATATGACAGACTTTGAAGACCCCCCCAATGGAAGGCCTCACCCTCCCTGGGGAGCAGAAAGGGTATGGGATAGGTAGTGCATTAGTTTGCGGGGGCAGGGGAGGAGGGGAGGAGGGGAGGAAGAGGGACCTGGGATTGACATGTAAAATAATTTTCTTTCTAATCAAAAAGAGTAGAAATTATTTGAATTAGTTCTTTCTTCCCACATATACATCCCTGGGATCAAAGCCAGATCATCAGGCATGGTGGCAATGACTTTACCTGATAAGCCTCTGCTTCTTTCATCTTAACAACTCTTCATTTTGGGAACTTTATGCCTTCCTTTCCTGACAGTTTGTTCCTAGTCTTTTTACTCCTCAAACATCTCAAAATGTCTGGTAAATATTTAGGCATCTGGCTATATGATTCCTTAGAACTTTAGTCATATAAATCCCAAAATCTTGAAATAAAGAATAGCCTCTCCATAAACACTGAATCCACATCTCTTAGGTCAGAATGTTCCTGTTTTCTGAAATTTACATTAGGTATTAACTGAGCATGGATAGCTGAGAAATAATAAATTAATGACCAGTAAGAAATATTAATATACATATCATTGACAATTTCAGGCTTATTCTTTGCATATTTGAGGATAGTTTAGGAAGAAGGCAGGGGGAAGGCATCCAAAACCAGTAATGTCTTTCTTCATGACTTAAAATTATTTCTGGAACATTGCATCAGTTTTGGAATTATTTCACAGGTAGATACAGGAATACCACTGAGACATTAATTCCATATAGTTTCTATGAGTATTTATTATGTTTTAGAACAAAGTAGATATTATATATATGTTTCTGAATGAAACAATTTTCATGAAATTGATATGTCAGTGGAGAGTAGACTAAGGAAAATCATGTTTTTCATCTTAGAAGGTGGTGAAGAAGAATAAATGGAGCTTGTATGAAAGATAAAGGTAACTGTTGAGGGGCTGGGTGGTGTTAGCTTGTGTAGGCTAGCAATGAAATTCCCAAGGGGCAAGTGATATTGAGCAGGAAACTAAGAAGGGCTTGTACATATGGAGAATTGGCAAACAGCTTCTAGATGCAAAATTGCAAATGCACTCATCTGTACAACCTTAAGAAATAAATAGCACTAGTCAGGGTAATTCAAGGAGAAAAATCATGATAAGAATCTGGAGTCTATTCTAAAGCTAATGGAAAGAATTAAAATTTTAAAATAGAAGTAGCCTAATATAAATGTGCAGACAACTTGCCTTGTGAACTTTTCAAGTACAATAACCACCTGTCTGGAAAGACATGCCTACTGGTGCTATAGTGGCATAAATATCATGGAAGTAAGCATCATGATTTTCTTACTAGATCTAACTCTACAAGATGAAATTCACAGCTAACAGGACTCACCTGTGCTAGACATAGAATCCACCATCATTACTCCCCTAAGTGGGCATAATATTAAACTAATTTAAAATGACATAGATTAGTTCATCTTCCAAACCTCATCAGCACAGCTTCTTTTTGCAGTAGATGGTGATTAACATACAACTGTGAACAGGTAGAGAATTAGAGTCTATGGAGGGATCAGCACTAGGTCTGTATCATGCCTCTTTTCTCCAAGATCAGGAATCATTGTGAAAGAGTGGGTAGAATGATTTAAGAGCCAGAGCTGGTGGATGACTATAAATAAATGTTTTCAGGACACAACAGAATGATTGGAGATTTGAACTCATGTTACCCGTGTCAGTATGAACAAAGCCAAATTATACCAAGACCCAGCATGGAGAAGGGACATGAGCATGATGTCCACCTATAGCTGAGGAGTTGACAATTAGTATCTTCTAGGATATGAGTCAGTTTTTGTAAGGGTATGGCCATACATACGTCAGTGTAAGCATGTACAATTAACTTTATACAGGTAGCACAAGCTGGATTTAATAAGAAAGAATAGTTAGGTGTGTAAGAGAGGGAGTTATAAGGAGAGTAGTTGTGAGAAGGGGTGAACATGACAAAAATAGATTGCATCATGTCTTCAAAGACACATTTTAAAATACAAAAAGATAAATGCGATAAATGCAATATCTATGTATACTATGAGGGCAAAAGGTATAAAAAGAAGCCTACTATCCAAACATGACATAGTGGCCTCATTGGTCTTGGGTAATTATCATTGTTGTATTAAGTTTTGCAAAACAATAAGTTAGCCTAAGAAAATATTTTCTTACCAAGCTGTCTCTTCAGAGCACCCTTAATCTCATTATTCCTGAGGCTGTAGATGAGGGGGTTCAACATAGGGATCACCACCATGTAGAACACAGACATCACCTTGTTCTGGTCTGTGGAGTAGCTGGATTTGGGCATCACATAAACAAATGCTACAGTCCCAAAGTACAGAGTGACAGCAGTGAGGTGGGAGGTGCAGGTGGAAAAGGCCTTCTGGCGGCCCTCAGTGGAGCGCATCTTCAGGATGGTGATGAGGATGTAGGTATAGGAGACAGCGATGACAAACACTGTGATCATGGTTACTGATCCAGCAGAAAAGGAGGTAACAAGTCCAGAAACACTGACATCAGAACAGGAGAGTTCCATCAAAGGAGCAAAATCACAGAAAAAGTGATTGATTCTATTTGGACCACAGAAAAGAAAAGAAAGAATGGAAATAGTGAAGATGGAAGCATTAAGAAACCCCCCTATGTAAGATCCTACAACCAACTGGATGCAGACTTGTGTGGACATTTTGGTTGAATAAAGCAGTGGGTTACAGATTGCTACAAAACGATCATAAGCCATGGCAGCCAGAAGGAAGCATTCAAGTGTCCCAAATAAAGAACCTGAGCCAAATTGTATAGTACATCCAAGGTAGGAGATGGTATTTTGATTTACCAGGAAATTAACAAGCATATTGGGTGTGACAGAAGATGAGATGCCTATGTCAGCAGAAGCCAAGTGACTCAGAAAAAAGTACATGGGATGATGAAGCTGGGAAGAGACTCTTATTAGGAGGATGGTGCTGAGGTTCCCAGACACAGTCACCAGGTAGATGCACAGGATGATGGTGAAGAGGACGACTCTAAGCATTGGGTCATCTGTCAAGCCCAATAAAATGAACTCTGTCACTGCAGTGTGGTTCCCATCTACCAGGAAAGCCATGGGGTGGTGTAGCTGCTGCCAGAACACAGCTGTAATGGAGACATTATGTGAAGAAATTTATAAATAGATCACATGATTTCATTTGATACATACATGGAGAACATTACTAACTAATATATTTTTAAAAGTTTCATCAAAACTGAAAGAGTTAAATAATTGCTAATTTTTATTAAATGCTTACTACATCACCAGAACTGTATTTAAATATATATATATGTATATATATATACATATATATATATTATTGAATTGAATATTTCAATTGAATAGCATTATTTTTTATTATTTCCATTTTACAGCAGAAAAACGTTCAAAACTGTGTAACATATACATAATAAGTAACAAAATTAGGGGGCTTCAGAAATGATTCAGTAGTTAAGAGTACTTGTTGCAATTGCAAAGGACCAGTGTTTGATTCCCCCAGCACCCATATGGTTTCTCACAGCAGCTTGAGGTTCTAGTTCTGGGGACCCAATATCCTCTTCTGATCTTCACAGACACTACAAATATATATGACATACATATGCATATGCAAACAACATTCATAAACATAAAATAACAACAACAAATCTTTTAAAAAGTAAAGTAGATATGAACACCAGGTGGGTTGAACTCAAAGTATCCCTGTTAGTAACTACACATAATCGTGGGTGGCCATGCAATAAGGGTACATAAAAATTAGGGACAGACATCAGGGTGGCATTTAAGCTTTCAGATGTTTAATACATAGAGTGGTGCAGTGTTGGTGACACTGGCCACAAGGTTTATCATTTCTGTAAGTAAGGTCATGTCTTGGTCAACTTTTAAAAACAATATAAATTTTCTTATTATAACTGAGAAGAAATAGAAGAGAGATCACACTAAAATTTCAAATGCAATTTCTTATTGTAAGCTCATTAAATATTTTAAGTACTTCTAAATTGATCATCACTCCTTAAAGTACCTTGAAATATTACTTTCAACATCATGTAAGATCTCAATTACATTTAGCACAGTATTACTAATTTTTATTAAAACATATCAATCATTTCCATTGTCACAGTGTTTTCTAACAGTAGTGTGATGGCATAAATTCACATGATTTTCAACAATGAAGACTAATTTATAAATATTCAAATAAGAGGTTAAGAGGCTTATGATGGTTCACCTAGCATGGCACAGATTGACTCTAATCCACTCACATTCTATATTTACATCATTTGGCCATAGTGATGCCTATGATACTGGAACTTTCAGTCCATAAACAAAATATATCTTTGCACATGATATGTGTCCCTGATAGTAAGCCACCAAAGCATTTCAAAGCTAGTGAACTTGTTAGTCTTTTGGCTGAATGCTATGTGTGCACAAATTTGAAGGTCATGTTGGTTTCTGGTCTTACCAGTGGATGGGTAAGTAAGGAATCTTTGAAAACTGCGAGGTATCTAGGAGGAGTGTAGGAAGGGGAAACTGGTCAGGTTGTAGTGTATGAGAGAGGAATCAATTTTCAATAAAATATAGAAAGAAAACTTAATTTATACTCCTTCATTCTGAATAAGTTCACTTATGGAAATATAAGGTGATTCCATAAATGTGTGTTTATTTTCCTTCTGCTGTATGATTGCCTGATTCCATCTGACTTGTTTCTCCACCATGGTTTCTAAATACAGTACATTTTCAAAGAATAAAGTATCTCCATTTACCAACAAGTCAAAATCTTACCTCTTGTAGTAAAAATTCATTTCAGAGTAAGACATTTAAAGTCACTATAATTTTATACCTAATAGTCTGTCTCCATTGTCATTGTCACTGAGGACAAGTCCCTAGTGAAGCTCTGGATTCCAGTATGAATTTAAATCATTAGGGATCATTACTTTATTCCCAGTGAGTGCCGAGAAGTTCATTTCACACAAACACAATTGGTTTTCAAGGGGTGTGTGAATCTCAAGTGATCTCTTGTTTTCCTGTTCATGTGAATAGGAACTTTCAGTTGGAAATTATGGGAGGTTCGTGACAACCAATTATCTTAGGTAAATATTCAAGCAAGTTGTTATTTGATTCGGTTTCCTTCACATTAAAAGATTTTATATTACTCATTAATATGTTTTTTAAATTTGTATATCTAGTGAATTATATTTATTGATTTTTGTATATTGAATCCACCCCAAATCCCTAGGATAAAACATACTTGACAGTTGAATCAGACATGACCACTCCTTGGTATGGTTGAGGAGAAGGTTTTATTGTAGAGATGAGGAAGATCACAGCCAAAGGCATCTGGTAGGCCATGAGATGGGAGGGAGAGGAGGAGAGTAAGAGAAAGAGAGGAAGAGCAAACGAGGGAAGATGAGGGAGGGCAAATGAACAAAGAGAGGTCCAGAAGAGGGGTCCACAGCAGAACCAACAGAGTGCATAGCCAAAATGACTGAGTTAATAAGGAAAGAGAAGCTGAGGGTAGGGAAGGGAAGCTCAGGGGCTGGAGAGTTTTAAGTTAGAGGGTGGGTTATGCCATCTAGAATGATTCTATAACAGGTACTTGTGGGTAGAGACTGTTGGAACATAGAGGCTAGTATAGACCTTGATACAATAATAGACATCACAGACATAGGTTAATGGAAAAGTCATGAGTCCCCTTTCCCAGATATGAATAATTCATTTTAGCAAGTAAGAACTATCTTCTTAAGTCTGAGGGAATTCTGGCCTTTGACTTTGAAACAGGATTTTTCTTGTGCAACAATTCTTTTTGTTGAAGATAAGAAGTGATATGATCTTTTGTATAACTGATTCTGACCTGAAATTGGGGCTTCCCTGTCTTGGGGTGGGCAGGAAAGCTGGGATATTGGTCAAATAATATCTCACTGGAGAGTGAGAAAGGACTGCAGGATATAGGATGTCTGTTTCACTCAGTATCTGGATTCTGTGGAAACATATGGGACTAGTGAAGTGCAGGCAGCTTTGGAGTCCTCTGTGATGCAGGGTCTCAGGTTGGTTGGAAATTCTATCAGAAACATCTGGGTTTGACACATTTGGGCAATATGTAGTCTTCAGTTGATTGGAAATCTGCTGGGACACACACACACACACACACACACACACACACACACACACAGTCAGAAGTATAAAGCACAGAAGGTTATATAGACAGAGAGTTCAGGAAAAGTGGGGTTTGAAGCCTGATTGTACACATGAAATTAATTGAACAGGCAGCTGCAGTCTTGGGAAGGAGCTGTTTTGCTTGCTGTTGTTAATGTGAAGCTACAGTTAGCCATTAATATCATCAGATATCTGAGAAGGATAAAATATAACAGGAAATCCAAATGGCCTATGTATCAATTAAAATAACATAGACTTACCCTTTACCTATGTGGTTACCTAGGGACATCTGGCCTTGGTGGTTTTGTTGGGAGACAGAAGTGGTAGTTCTTCAGGGGTCACATGGGAGAGCTTTACATCATCAGTTGCTGCACAGGTCAGCATAGGCCTTTGGCTGTCAGACCCAGAAGGTCAGAGATATTTTCTTGTGGAGGACAAACCTAGAAAACCTGACCTACTTTGACAAGGCAGAGTAGGGAAGTTAAATCAAAAGTATCCATAGTATGTGCAGGGCCCTGGATATGACTGAAGCATAAGGCATTTCTTTTAAGTGGAGCATTACCACAATTCAGGTGGCATCGTCTATTTCCTATTGTCTTCTTTGGAGACCTTAGAGTTGCTTCTAGGAGCTGATATTTCTGTCTGTTATGAGAAGTTTTTGCATTAAACACTTTAAATGCCATATTCACAGATCTCTGAAGATTTTGAGAACATTATCTATTAAGTATTCCTGATTTTAAACAAACTTTATTTGGTTGTAGTTACTTGATTTAGGCCTAATCTTGAAAACACATACAGATAGCCAAATAAAGCTTGTCATTGTAAATGAATTGCATTTTATATTTAGCATGATTGACAGCATAGTTCTGAGAACATTAAAGAATATGATCATTTATAAGGTGACTGAGGATTAACTTGGATTTCTTAATTATCTTTACCAGTTTATAACAAGTTAGCAGCTCATATAAGATAAGGATTTTACAGCCTTATCCCTGTTTAGTTTGAACCCTAAAAATTTGAGTTGAAGATTTAATTGAAGACATTTTAGAATCCAAATAAAAATTTAAATGGAATCTGTAGAGAAGAATCTGGACTCTTTACTAGACCATAACTACAGTTCACACAGAGACTGAAAACCTTACTTTTCTGGTCCTTTCATAGTGGACTATTACAGAATAACACAACTTCTTGTATGACTCAGTTTATCCAAATAGCTAAAGCTTACCAAAGTGAGCATAGACAATGAGGTGAGACAAATATCTTCAAGTTGATAACTATTAACCTGAGTAGACCTTATGAATTTATAAACCTGATTTGTCAAATATGCCTATTCATCAGATATATGTTGTTTCTTACCTAAAGTTTTTAGGAGCATAGTGTTGACCAGTTAGCAAGGACTTAAATATTTGGAACTACATCTCTAAGTCATGTTCTGTTAGCCTGAATATGCTTTAGGAACTTATCCATATATCAAAGTCCATCTGAATCCAAAATTATGGAGACCTGCTATGGTCTCCTTAGTCTAAAAAGGAGATGAAATGATAAAAAATGGTTCCATAGGACTCAGACACTTTATGATTGTTGCATTCATAGCATTATATCACATGCTCATCTTTTTTTTGCTTGTTTTTTCGAGACAGGGTTTCTCTGTGTAGCTTTGGAGCCTATCCTGGCACTTGCTCTGGAGACCAGGCTGGCCTCGAACTCCCAGAGATCTGCCTGCCTCTGCCTCCTGAGTGCTGGGATTAAAGGCTTAAACCACCAACACCCAGCCACATGTTGATCTTAATCATGATGGTGAAGTTACATGGCATGTACCCTTTATATTTAGTGAAGCTGGCTTCCAGCCACACGGTTCCTTTCATCCTGATAAAGTCATCAGCCAAGATGGAGGAGCAATTAGCCATATGGTTCCTACTTAAAAACAT